TTTCACCGGCTCTTCGGCCGGCGTTTCACAGCAGCTCGCGCAGAGCCCCAAAAAATACTTGGTACAGTGGTGCGCGTCTTAGCGACTTAGAACGCTCTGTCACTTTGCTTCGCCCCGAGGATTGCTGTAATCCTCGGGCGGAGCTACGTCACAAGACGTTCCACGTTTCTAAGACGCGCACCACGGTACCACGTATTTCTATGGGCCCTGCGCGCGCTGCTGTGGAACGTTGGTCGAGCCGGAGAAAATTCGAGAAAACAACACAAACTCAACTTTGAAGCAATCCTGAACAACCAAATTTATATATATGTGACACACGCAATGCTAATCTTGTTACATTGTTCAGGGGACTCTCAACAACCATCCCAAAGTACCGTTTTCTTCGCGTTTTTGGCCTTTGTTGTCACCGCGATGGTTGCCAGGCGGTGAAAATGGCCGGATGTCCGCCTCCCCCGAAGATAACTTTTTTTCACGTGAACGTTCTGCGTACACTGTGGGGCGATTATGCTTGTTCATGAAATATTGCTCTGATTTGCTAGGATTGGACCGTATATAAACAAACTTCAACATGTAAGGTATGCATATGTAATGATTGATGGAACATTATACTTACCAGGCACGCCTTCACAGAGGGCGCCATCAAGTTTTTGGCCACAATTCCCATTCATCCACCCATAGTTTAGTGCTTTGCTGTAAATTAAAATAGAATAGTTCTAATAACTTTTGTCAGTTGCATTGTGATTTGATTGGATAGAACAGCCGTACTCGGACATCTGGGGTTGAAGCAGCTATTAGTTCTTCTTCCTTATTCAATAAGTTGTTGGCTGTCGGTTATTCGCTAAAACAAGTATGCCATGTGACCGACACTGATGAAGCATATTTCAGTAGAAGTGTTTGACGAAATTGGAGAGGTGTGTATTACACCCCTCGCAATATTCAATAGACCATTTTCCGTACACTGCGAGAATCACGCGTTATGCGTGAAATCGAACGTAAAAACAGGACAAACAAAGGTCATAGCGTCGTAGTCGCGTCAAACATCGCGTGGGATTCGACAAACGCGAAAGTATTTCGGGAGACATTTCCATGCTTAATAATGTGCTGTCCACATTTGATGATAGGCAATTTCGATTAAGTAAGGGTATTCGGAAGCAATATTCCTCTGTCGAAGATCGGCCGGTCGATGTGAGCTACGAAATAAAGAAATTCGAGTTCAAAATCAAATCGTTCGATTTTTGCGGCAGACGTTCGACGCGCGTCTTTCATGCATCTCGCGAGATCTCGCAATTGTACGGAAAATCACCTATTAGACCTCTGCTTTGCTGCACGCGGATTAATTTATAATTTGTTTTTCGGGTAACCCATTTACTTATTTGTATTTGTTACAAATAATTTAATAGGATTTCGACGAACAGGCCAAGACCACACTCTCAGTGGATCTGATGCAAAGAACAGTTTAACAAATATATATTTGAATAGTAAACAATATATATATATATATATATATATATATATATATATATATATATATATATATATATATATATATATATATATATATATATATATATATATATATATATACCATGCTCTCCCGGGGACCTTGTTGTTGTACATCCAAATTATGGGCGGTCGTCGTGTTACGCATGCGCGAAATATGGGTCTCTTATGAACAAAGATGGCGACGGTGACTGTTGCGCAAACTAATGACTTGGCTCTTCGACCGGCATTCCACAGCAGCTCGCGCAGAGCCCATAGAAATACATGGTGCAGTGGTGCACGTCTTAGCAAAATAGAAGGTTCTGTGACGTTGCACCGCGCCGGGGATTTTATGAAGATATTTTTATTTACTTACGACATCATTGCACAATCTTGTATATCCGGGAACGAGCCCATGTACTCCCAATTATCATAAGTAATTCCTCCACCAGTGACATACTCAAATACGCCCTCAACGTTTAAATCAGTTACTCCAATGAACACTGTTGACGTCCAATGAAATAATCACACAAACAAAAATCACCAAATATCAATAGCAAGTATAACAATATTAGAAATAAATTATCCTAGATTTTCAATTGCCTGAATACGTCGTTCTGATTGACCGAGCGAGTGTTATTTTTTTTATTATGCAAGCTACGTTTTTTGTGTGTTTATAATAATACGGAGTCGGTACAAGTCTTACCATCAACCAAAATCGGAAAAAAATTGTGATAAGGAGCCTGTATTTGTTGAGAATAAATTGTAAGAACTAAATTTAGAATTATACTCTCATATGCGTTTATATGGATCCTTGCTACATCTGGTGTACGCGACTGACTGTGTGCATTGTAACACTATGATAAAGACTTTTCGACACTGTGGAATTCTTTCGTTTTTTGGGAGAAAACACCCTGAAAAAAACAAACTGATTTTGACAAGATAATTGAGAAATTTATATTAAGAATAATTCATAGCGAAATTTATTCCCTACCCACCCATAAATAATATCCATAATTACCGATTACACAAGAATATTACAGAAAAAACTATTTATATAAATATTTGTCCCTTTTATTTGTCTTGAATTGTGACTGAAAGAAACTGAATGAAACTACAAACTATGTAGTGTGTTTCAACAACTCATTTATGAACAATACATATGATTTTACTTGGTGTAGATACTGTTTTTTTTTTACATAAAAACGAAAGGTGTTCACAATGTCCAAAACGGAATGTCTTTATCGTAGTGTTATTTGTACGAGGATCACATATTATGAATGATTAGAATTGGAATACTCGTCAGTAAATAAATATGTCTCTGTGATTGAATATTTGTGTTGTAATGTGAATATATTTCTTCAACCGTACGATCTCCTTCGAATCCAAGTGCTGCCGCCGCAGCCTGCTCTGCAGGTGTCCGGATCTCTGCAAGCTTCCCGCCCGCAAATATACATGCTCTTTGTGCGTCGTAGAAATCGAATTGACCAGACTTAACAACATACGGAGCTATAAATAAATAAAAAAAACACGTGATCGTGGTCATAATATTATCCTACGTCACAGTGTTATTCAGTGTGTGAAGTGTTATTAAACATGTTGAGAATCATTGCGAGAACGAGTAACCAACTCGCAAACCAACTAACCAAACAAAAATAACAACAACTTACCTCCTCGCTTTTCAATCGATCTCTATGAATATAAAAAAACATAACATATATTAATAATAAGTCTATATTTTTTTAGACTTTTCATACAAGAATAGAAACAAAACAAATTTATTTTAAAAACCCTTCAACCAGTGTTGTGAAAAATGAGAAGTGTTATTGTTTTAAAGAATCGAGCATATGCATTAAATCTCTTCATGTCCACATACTCAGTAATTCATAAATCGGGTAGTATAACAACATGATAGTTGCAATGTCTGAGGTTTGGCTTTTGTATATAGAAGTAATCACTATGAGACTGTTTATTAATTGTCATTTCGACTAATCTTTCAGACGCCGGCAGTGCAGTCAAATTGTTCTCATAATGTGTTTGTAATTTCACTGAATTCAATCATAATGTTGGGCCAAACAGACAAAATATAGCATTTGATAACAGTAAAACGAAATTTTCTGTGGAAAAGAGCAATCAGTAATTATGTGGATGGTGTCTTGAGATGCCCCCGACGCCCAGAGAGTTAAGAACTTTGCTTATTTAAACATTAATATACACAAAGTCAATATCGTTAATGTATGTCACCCATGTACTTGACTTCCTGCGTATTTGATATTTTTAATGTAATGAATTTAATCTCAATTCTAGTAGTCAAAGAAGCAACATCTTGTCGCTGCTTGTTTTTTTATATATAACAACCATACACGTACATTAGCGTCTTGTCTTTTGCTTACAATAATACTGTAGAATACTTTATTTTCACTTGGAATTTATTTTCGCTATTTTCGCTGAAGGGATGATTCCGTGAAAATAAAATCCAGCGAATATACTTTTTTCCCTACATTTCACATTAAACTCATCAAAAATCAGTGAAAATATATTCCATACAAAACGCCAAAAAGCCTTTTCAGCAAAAATTAATTCCAGCAAAAATAAAGTATTCCACAATAATAACGGCACTCGCATTAGACAATTAGTATATTTAGCGGTCGATAATAACCGAGCGTAGAATGGCCATTTTTCCACAGAAGTCTTGTACCCGCTACTAAATACACCGTTTATAACATAACATAACACGATGTGAAATATTAAAAAAATATATTTATATTGTTCAGCATAATTCTTTTTAATTCTCACAACGTTTTTCCCTGATAATACTAAATCAAAGTAAGCAAAGAAGACATGAAGTACAACTAAGGAATACTGTTAGTATTTATTATATTAGAACACATCTTCATTAGACATATTGAATGCCAAATCATTGACATTCGTCCATATTTGACCATATTCTTGTCTTTGTCCTTTATTTTTACAGTGAGCACATGTGCTTCTAGTACAGCAAATCATTAGGGTGGTAGCTATGGTTTAACAATTATAAATATTCATTAAAATAATTACCATATAAAATGACTTAATATTTTGGCCATATACTGCATATTATCCCAGAATATCTTTTTCCGCCTCATTAAAAAAATACGCAATACTCCAATTCGAAATACCTACGATTTATAATAATTTTTTTTGTAAACTGTTTTCCCGACACATGGTCTGGAGTTATCCCCAAAGTTGAGTGAGCCGGTTTCGGTGTATAAACGCAGGTTTACTATAATGCCAGAAAGAGGACCTTGCTCGATCCAACCGCATGTGTATAGACTTTGTGTATGGTAATTCAAAAAAAGAACATTCTGGCTTATGTGACTGTCACAGATTACCATATGTATATTACCAATTAAAGCGGGAGGGTCGTCACGTGCGCATGCGCGGGAAGTGAGTCCCAAACGACGATAACACACGCTGAAACGCAAAGGCTCATGGGTAGACGCTTGTTTGTAAACGATGACACGCTATGGCCAACTGACGCATGCGCAGGTGTCGACTCCCCCGCTTAAATAATACCACTGTGCTGTTAACTGGCGATTTTCAATATGCATTTCTAAATTAAACCGAGGACTGCATCGACGAAAGTTGTCAAGTCTCGCGAGAATCAGGAACGAAATGAACAGAAGAAATACTAATCTATAACTTACATTGTCTGCAGAATGCGACGGCGCGGCATGGTTCACAAAGATGCACGTGGCGCAGTAGAAGAGAATATATTTCCACATTCTTGAGCTAGAGAATAAATAATTATGAGGTTATTTACGAGGATACTGCAAAGTAAGCACGAAGACAGTCCAGCGGAGTATCGACCGACGCGCAGTGTAACCTTATTATACATTGTATACATCATGGGTATGCGGGAATGAAAAACGTTTAGAGCAGATTTGCAAACTACTTTGTATAATACTTTACAATAATCAAACGATATCCAAATTGATAGTCGCCAAAGGGAATTCACAAGCCTAAGAACACACACACAAAAAAGTACAGCGCACAACACATAGTCAAATCAGTGAGAAAACTATATGAACCTAATGATCAATACCAACTGATGTAATGTAACATTGCATCGATTTGAGCAGCAACATCCCGGTGTTACAAGCTATTCAACAAAATTAAACTGTAATTTTTGGTAAGGTTATCGTGCGACCCGATAAGAAAAACGGAATTTCAGGGACACAGGGAGATAGTTTCATAATTCCAGGAACTAGTAGTGCATAGAAAGGGAATTAAATCACATGTACCGCGTGCCACAAAAATCAGTTTTTCAAAATAACAATTATGTACAAAAATACCGGTTTACTGTTCACAAAATTGCTTCAGCTTGAGATATGGCAGTAGTGTCACCGAACAACCGAAAGAACTTAGGCTGGTTACATTCCTATTATCTGGCGGGTACTATGGCCCTCTCTATACTAGTCTGGACACCCTGCCTTGAGCGACAGTGATTTTGATTGGTTGATAAAAATATCACACTGCTAATTGAATATGCTAATGTAACTAGTAACCGTGGGAGAATGTTGATCTTTACTGGACTCACCACATCCGACAATGTACAACACACACTTACATACGGCAAGGTTCATGCCTGGCGCGGCCACATGTGTGCAGTTAGTCCGGCAAACCATTGAACATAAAACACTAATAAACAGACTAAATACGGCTTCCATTACATTGCTTGCAGTGCACAAGTGTACTTATTGAAAATACAAAAAAACAGATGGAAAAAAAAATAAAACTTGAATTAGCATGCAAAATCTTCAAAAAATTTACAAAACAGACTACTGCACCGTAGCACCAGTCCTGTGACCCCCCCATTCCATACCCGTCTGTTTGCCATCCCCGAATAGTTAACCGCTATAGTGCGAAACACGGTTAACAATATTTCTCCGCACACGGTGTATCAATTGGCAGTTGCCACCGAGACGATTTATAGTGACGTTTGAATAAATTTACATAGTTAATAACGAAATCAAAGCAACAACAAACAAACTACGCTGAAATAGAAAGTGAATATATACTGTGGTTGCCGGAAACCACTCACCGCGACTGATGAAAGTGCTAATACATGAAAAACTACCAAGTACTCCAAGCCTATTATTAAAGATTAAAATATTTACAATGTTGATTATAACTTTCAATTAGAACGGAATGTTATCTGGAGCTAGTTATCTGAGGAATGCCGTTTAAATATGATTTTGATACACCAAAAGGCATAAACTACAGAAATGAAATCAGATTAATAGAAAAATAATATTCAAGCTCTTGGATATCAACGAACTACGTAATTATTTGCCCATGCTAACCGTGTTATTCGCTTCGATAAAAACGAA